AGCACGTGTTCACCAGCTGTGTGGTTCTGACATGCCCATAGTGCGCCAGCAGTTGGTGCACCCTTCTGATAATGCTCTCCCGTTTTGCTGGTGCTGGGACCAATTTCCATCATTCCCTAGTCCAGATTTGCATGCGTATCAGTGGTAGTGTTGCCCTCGTGCTCGCGCCCTTTCTGAAACCAGCTCCTCTGTCTCCGTCTGTCCCCAGGGCCACCTCAACCTCTCTGGGTCCGCCTACACATCAGCTGTTCCCCGAGCCTCCTGTTGCCAGCCTCCTTGCCGTTCCACTTCTCGAGCGAGTGCGGCCAAGCTTGCGACTGGCTCTGCGGGTGGGGGGTTTCGAGAGAGCCAGTCCACATGTTGCAGGGTGCGGCCTAGGCGGTGCTTGACGATGAAGTCGAATCCGTGCAGTAAGAGGAGATGCTGGTGATTTGTAACCAGAGTAAACTCCCGTCCCTGCAGGTACACCCGAAAGTGTGTGAAGACCCATACTGCTGCCGTGCCTTCCACCTTGTATGAGCTATAGTTTGCTTCTGCTGCATTACAGCTGCGGCTGGCGAATCCCACCATCCTTTCCCCTCCGTCTGTCTGTTGGTCGAAAACTACACCCATGCCCGCACTGCTCCAGTCGGTGTAGAGTGTGAATCTACCCTCAAGCTTCGGCAGCTGCAGCACTGGCCTGGTCTTCACCAGGTCCAGCAGCTCCTGTAGTGCCCCCTGCTCTTTCTCACCCCACTTCCACGTGAGGTCTTCCCTCAGCAACCGGTTGAGGCAGGTAGCTCATTTACTGAAGTTTGGCACGAAATTTTTGTACTGGCTAAAAAATCCCAGGACGGCCCTCAGCGTCGTGCGGTTTTCAGGAACTGTCAGCTTGGCCAGGACCGCTACCTTGGCTTGTTGTATCATCATCTGCCCTCCGCACACCTCAAATCCGCGGGTATTGCACTGGGGAGGGTTCCTAGACAAACCATCTACGTGCTGCATGGCTTTGCCTGGATGGTGCCGAACCTGGAACTCGTACTCTTGTAGCCGCATGGCCCACCTTGCGTTCCTTCTGGTGAGGACCTGTCTGGTCAAAACCCAAATGAGGGGCTGATGATCAGTAATTTGGGTGAACGGCCTGCCCTGCTGATGTACCCTGAAGTGTGTCACTGCCCAAACTGCCGCGAGCCCTTCCCCCTCGTATGACCTGTATCTGGCTTCTGAACGATTGCAACTCCTACTCGCAAAGGCGACCTTCTCCTCTCCTTCTCTCTCTTGATACAGGATGACCCCCATCCCCAAGCTGCTCAAGTCCGTTTACACAGTGAGCGGCTCGTCCGTCCTCGACATCGTTAGCATAGTTGTCGTCTTCACGTCCTTGAGCAGTGTCTTCAATGCTGCTCCCTTTGTTATGTGATGCTATCATATGCATTCATGTCTGTCTGCCGCCCATCCCATGTTCGAGCGTTGCATGCGTTGTGTGTATGTGTGCAAGAATCTATGTTTGGCGTTGTTTGGACGTTCTGAGTGTGTGTGAATGTTATTTTTCTTGAGCGGATATATGAAATGACATATCTGTTCATCAGCCGAGTATTGTTGCAATCGGATCAACAACGAGAAAGTTATGATCGTTCGAACTTTCGATTGCAATGTCGCGACTATGGGAATTGGTAGGGTGACTCGATAGGTATAGACTACTGGGGGTTGGGAAGATCGTCACGTTCCCTGTAGTTGCTGCCAAATGGTTGGGAGAAGGCAAACCAGGTTGGCAAGTTTGGCCAAGTTGGGTGAGGTGGATGGCATGGGTTGGAAAAGTGACAAAAGTGAAAGTGGGGTTCTTATAGGGAGGGCAAGTGTGTGCTTCTGGGGTTTGCTTGGTTGGGGACTCCATGGGGATCTTCCCTCTTGTCCTCTTCATCCCCTCCTATCTGGATTCTAGCCACTTCATTTCTCTTGTGTGGTTCTTGGGATAATATTGTGATGGAGTTAAGTTCAAGCTAGAGCATACTCCCACTGCGCCGAAATCCATAACTTGGAATATACTTCACCTTTTTGTGCGATCTAAATTGGGAACTGTAACACATGTACGATTGTTGAAGTTTGAACGCTGAATTTTATGTCGACGGCGTTTGTTGTGAAGTCGACATTTCTGTCCAGAATTGTAGTCCAACGATTTTGAGTTATTTCAGCCTCTATTCTTCCTAGACTCCATCCTTGGTCCTAACAAGTGGTATCAGAGCTGATTATGGACTTTGTAAAGACTCTAGTAAAGTTTCATCCCCTCCTACCTGGTTTCTAGCCACTTCATTTCTTTTATGTGGTTCTTGGGAGTATATTGTGATGGAGTTAAGTTTTAAGCTCCAGCATACCCCCCAGTGCGCCGAAATCCATAACTTGAGATATACTTAACATTTTCATGCGATCTAAACTGGGAACCGTAACACAACATCTACAATTGGTGAAGTTTGAACGTTGAATTTTATGTCGACGTCGTTTGTTGTGAAGTCGACATTTCTGTCCAGAATTATAGTCCAACGATTTTGAGTTATTTCAGCCTGTATTCTTCCTAGACTCCATCCTTGATCCTAACAAGTGGTATCAGAGCTGATTACGAACTTGGTAAAGAGTCTAATGAAGTTTCAAGACTCTTCTAGACCCACCATGGCTTGTGGGTGTGCCTAGGTGGAGTTTTGAAGGTTGAATGTGAGTTCTGCTAACGGGAAACTCTGCCAAATTCTTGTTGGCGCAGACACTTGTGAGATATTTGTGGATCTTCATTGCGGACAGCAAGGGGAGAGCTGAAACTTATCATTCACAGGAGAAGATGAATGAGAGAGTGGGAGATGCTGTTGGAAAAAGGAGTGGGAGCTGAAAAGCCGCTCGAACCGCCACCATCCAAGATTGAGGCATTGGATGGCTCCAATTATGAGGAATGTGGCGAGTGCATGAAGAGCGCCTTCAAGCGCTACAAGCTGCTGAAACTTTCGATGGGGGAACAGAAGATGCCCGATAAAGGAGATACTCGGAATCGGTGGATTGAGTGGAGCGCGGTGCTTTTTGACCTCACTTTACAATTGGTCAACAACATGTTCCAGCACATCAAGGACTTGGTGGAGTTGGATGACTCCGGACCAAAAGCGTGGAAGCTTCTGCGTGACATAATTCAGCCCAACACGCTGCACATAGTTATTATGTTGGAGAAGGAGTTGGTTGCCCTCTCCACGCGACCAGGAGATGATGCGAAGCCGGTCCTTGACAAGATCAAGGACACCTATGTGAGGATGGCAATGGCGAGCAGCAAGGTGTCACAGATGCAGCAGTGCATCAAGATCATCTCGGTGCTGGACAACTTATGGGACAATCAGATACCTACCCTCAACTTTCAGCAGGATCAGTGGACACCCGATTCGCTACGGCAGCAGATTCCCCAGGAGGACTTCCGTAGGCGCCACACGGGAGGTGGTGCTACCAACAAGACTGCTGAGGGGTATGCAACTGCAAGAGGCAACAGAGGAAGAGGGGGTGGAAGAGGTCGAGGCCATGGGAGAGGCTTTGGCAGAGGGAGCACCAAAATGGAAGGAGCCTGTTGGTACTGCAAGAAGGCTGGACATCCATGGTTCGAGTGTTTCAGCCAGCCTGAGGGATGGGCGCCCCCAGGCACGAAGCCGCCGAGTGGTGAACGCGCACAAGGTGGTGCTGTGCAAGGCTCAGGTGCACAAGGTTATGGTGCACAAGGTAAAGCCTCCTCTGGGATGTTCCTCATGGTTGGGGATGTGCAAAGGAGTGGGGTTGATGTGGGATCAGTTGGGAAAGTTGTGTTGCACCCCCTCACTCAATAGGTGATAGATTCATGTTGCACAAGCGGATTTGCTTGATGAGGTAAAGCCCTTTGGGAAGATCAAGATTGTGGCTGCTACTTCACGTGCTTTGCTCCATGTGATTGGTGTTGGGAATGCCAAGGAGATGGGAGCCAATAGGGAGCTTGTGGGGCTTGGGAATGTACTGTTGGTTGAAGGTTTGTATGTTGACCTTCTTTCTGTGCGCCGAGTGCAGAAGAGCAAGGCTGAAGTGACCTTCGGCCCAACCAGCTGCCGTGCAAAGCTTGGGAAGTTGCTGCTGTGGAATCTGGAGGAGAAGAGCAGCTGCATCAAGGACCAATGGCAGCTACCTATCATCCCTTAGAATGGCAAACCACCAGCAACGGCAATGGTAGAGGCATCGGCTAAAACAACTGCGGGAAAACATGTGACTGCACCAACTGATGGGGCCCTGGATGCAGTCAAGAAGGTGCAGTAACTGCAGCAGCCACATGGTGATGTTCTTGCTGGTGTGGATGGGACATGTGCATAGGCAAATGCTTCATCTGAGAGTGATGAGGCAGACTGGGAGACGTGGCACGAAAGGTTGTGTCATATCAACATTCCTATGCTGCAGATGTTGGTGAAGGATGGGAGCTTGACGGGGTTGGAAGTGAAGGGGGCAACAAAGGAGATTGGGAGCTGCCCTACATGTGGTGGATGCCGCACATCTGGGGTCCAGAGCCCACCGGCCGCGCAGATATTGGCAGAACGGCATCTTCAAAGATAGCCTCAGGCACGCCATGGCAAAAATGCAACGGCCCGAGCCTAGGCTGGTCAGCGACATCCTGGGGCCAGCTCCAAGCCCCGACCACCCCTCGTAGCACCAGGGCAACGTGCCAGGGAAGCCCAGGCAAGCCTTGCCCACGCTAGTAGCTTATGAAGAAGCTAGGGGTTTTGTCATGGAAGGGGAGGTGTAAGGGCCCGGGATGGTATATGACGTGAGGAGCAGGAGGTGGGAGGAACTCATAGCAGAAGAACGTGAACTGGCAATGGGGCACTGATGGGGTGCGACGGCTCATCTCAGGTCACCGAGAAGCAAAGGAGAGCGGCGGTGGGCCGAGCCATGGACTTGAAAGTCATAAGCTGGCTGATAGAGACTATTCGAAAGCACTTGAAGCGGAAGGAGATACAGAGAGATATTGAGATCAGTGAGAGGCGTCAAGAGCAAGACGAGGCGGGGAGGAGGAGAAGGCAGCTGCACGCCATTAAGGAGTAGGAGGAAGGTAGGATCTTGGAAGGATGGGCCTTCATGGCCGTGAGCGAGGAGATGGGGGCAGTAGAACAGGAAGGAGCAGGAGAAAGAAAGGGAGACTGAGAACCTGGAAAGAAGCAGGAGAAAGAAAGGGGTACGGAAGAGGAATTGCCCATCCTACCGCACCGCCAGTTTCACTCCTCCTTTCTTCACCTCCAAGCTCCTACCTTCCAACCCTGGGTCGTCCTTATCTATCAACCGCATCCAAGATGCTCCCGCACTCCCCTCCACCAACACCCTCAAGAACACTACCTTGAACTGCTCTTCTCCACATGTCTTCTAAGGTAGCCTAAGGTCGCTTGACCGCTGTGGTTGCCTAGTCGCCGAGTTCGCTTGATCGTTAGTAGCCTACTCAGCGCGTGAAAATGAGCAAGAGCGTATGGTTGTATAGGCGTTCATATACTTCACGGGGAGAGTGGAGTTTTATAGGCGGTCCTTTACTTCGCGGGGAGAGTGGGGATTGTATAGACGGTCTACTTCGCGGGGAGAGTGGGGGGGTTGTATAGGTGGTCTATACTTCGCGGGGAGAGTGGGGGTGTGGATCTAAGGTGCTACCTTCACGGACTTCACGTTCTCTTGAGACTCCCTCCACATAGTTCCTGCCTTATCCTCTACCAACACATGGAACGGCTCCACCTCATTCACCTTGAACATCATCTCAAACCTCAGAGCCTGCTTCTCCCACTCCACCCTCTTGATCGGTCTGATCCGAACAAAATCTCCCTTCTCCAACATCTCCATCTCCAAAGCAAGAACATAAACTTTGAGGATGCTTCGGTTGAGAGCACCCCAAACTTCTTTGGTTGCACCCCAAAATCTCCTTGAAGTGTGTGTTGTTGTCGTATGAATCACCATCGGACAGCCATGGTTGGAGATAATATTCCCTGTTACAAATGCCACTGTTGTTGCCGCATCCGTACTCCTCATCGGCTTACACTCCGCCCACTTGGTGAAGTGGTCCATGGCCGAGCTGACGTACTTGTTCCCTCCCTTCGGCGTTTCATGTAGTGGCCCAATGAAATCCATCACCTCCCTCTCCTATAGCTTAGAGATCGGTACCGGCTGCAATTCTACCTTCGCCATCCATGACCCTTTATGAAAGACACACATTGCACACCCCTTCATAAATGCCACCACATCATTCCTCACTCCGTACCAATTACCCTGCTGCTTGACCAGATCCTCCTTAGTACACCCAAGTGCCCCAACCCATGAAGAAATGCTATAACTCCCTCATTTCCTCCTCCTTAGACATCAACTTTAATTTCGTTCTGATCCTCCTTAGTACTTACCTCTTGCTCTCACTCTCCTCTTCTCCACCATTCTCCATGTGAGATCAACCGCTCCCACAACCTCCAAGAAGAACAAGGTGTTGGCGTCGTCCCACGCGAGACTCTTGCTCGGGGTCCCGTCCTCTTCTTCCTCTCCCTCTTTCTTATGTTGTTCTATCTCCTCTAGCAGCTGCTCTTCTTCCTCCAACTCATCCGGCCGTTGAACCTTCTCAAATTCCCCACCTTCCTCCTCTTCTCCGACTACTTCTCCCTCTTCATCTTCACTACTCTCCTCCTATACCTCTTCTTTTTTTCCTTTGTCTCCCTCTTCCTCCTTGTCTGTACTATACACCTCTTCCTCCTTCTCATCCTCCTTGCCATCATCATTTCCCTCCTTGTCCTCCTCCGTGCTATTCTTCTCCTTCTCCTTATCGCATTTTTCTCCCATGGTCATCGACTTGCTACTCTCCCCCTCTTCTTCTTCACCCTGTTCCTTTGGGGCAGCTGTTGTAGAGGAGGGGGTGGATGAATGACGGAATGCGTGCATGGTTATGTGATGGTGCTTCCCCCCCCGCCCCCGAACGTAGATGCAACCACTGTTGCATGCGGCTCAACGCATCTACGTTCCTATGACTCTCTCAAGCCTGGTAGGTGATGGTGGAGTTGTACTCCTACAGCAAAAAGCTCCACCTTGTCAAATTTCACGTGAGTTCTTGTGCCATCATGAGCCATTGAAGTGCTTGACAATCCGTCTCCAACAATGATCTGCTCCCGTAGAGATCGGGCATGTAGTGTATAATCGCAGCAACCACCGCCAAACACTCCCCATGAGTTGACAAGCTCCACTCCGCTCCCTTTGTTGTCCGGCTAGCATAACCCACCACCCATTCCGCTCCCTTCTCGTGTTTTCGAGCCAGCATAGGGGATGGGGGATGGGGGCGAGCTTGAAAGCGTTGAAAGCGTGCTTGCTCTCGAGAGTCCACTCGAAGGGGTGGTCCTTATGGAGCAGTTGCGTGAGAGGGTGTGCCAAATTGGCATACCCCTTGATGAACCTCCGATTGTAACTCGTGCGCCCCATGTTGCTAATCGCCTCAACCTTCCCTCCATCCTTCTTCACTCCCTCCCTTTTCACCAAGTGCCCTAGGTAGATGGTGGAATAAAAATCCAGCTCACATTTGTTCAACTTCAGCTGAAGGTGATTCTCCTTGATCTTTTCGAATGCATCCCGTAGGTACTTAAGATGATCCTCCTCAACTGTTTGAGAAGATAATTATGTCATCAAGGAAGGGAGTTGTATTGGCGTGGGTGCAAAATGTGGTGGTCATGAGCCATTGAAAGGTGGCAAGTGCGTTTCTAAGCCTAAGTGACATCCTTACGTATTCGTACTGCTCCGAGGAGGTGGCGAACGCCATATAAGGGATATCTTCCTCCGCCACAAGGATGGTGTGGTAGGCGGATTTAACATCTAGCACCGAGAAATGGAGCGAGTCTGTCGTCTATCCATGGCATGGGAAATTGATCGGCTGCTTTGGCCACGGGGTTGAGCGGGCGATAATCGACTACTACCCTATCCTGGAAGTCCTTCTTAAGGGTTACTATGCATGGGGAGGACCAAGGACTGTCCGAAGAGCGAATGACCCCTTGCTCGAGCTAGGTTTGGACCTCCTCCTCGATTCTAGCGTGCTCGAATGGTGTTAGATGGTATGGCTTATGGGCTATGGGCTTGGCACTCCTAGTGGTGATGTGGTGGCAGATGGTGAGGTGGGTCCCTAGCATCTTCTTCTTCATGGAAAAGACCTCCTTATACTCCACCAAGAGCGGCTGTACCTCCTTTTGCTACTGCTCCTCTAACTCGTGGTTCAAATTAAATGGGTAGGTGTTCAAACTCGGAGCAAGCTACCCTAGGTGCCTCCTTCGTGAAGGATTAATAGCTTCTTATGATGATCCTCCACCTCGTCTCCACTCTCGGCTACAACGTAGTTCCACTTCTCTGCTACCGAGTAGTTGTATAACTCGAAGTGGTCTGCACTTACCCTCTTCTTCCTCTTATGATAGATCAGCTCCCCTTCCTCCCATTCACAATCCAAATACTCTTCTCCATCCGCCATGGAGTCAAATTCCCGCTCGATCTCGTCCTCTCTCTTACGTAGTTCTCCACCATCTCATCGTGAGCCTTCTCCCAATGAAAGCCTTCTCCTCGATCCCACGCTCCAGTCTCATCTGCCGTTAAACTCCCAAAGTCGTGTCCCCTTACCTCTTATGCCCCTCCTCTTACCACCTCAAGCTCCCCTTTCTCCACTCCTTCCTCCTCAGATCCCTCCGCACTCGAGCCTCCTCTTTCTCCTCCTCCTGCTCTCTTAATCATAGGTAATATTCATCCTCCTCCTTGTTCAGCTCCATCCTCCCTTCTTCCTCCGCTATGACTTCTCACTCCCCGCCTTGATGTGCTCCTCGTCCTCCTCATCAAGCATTTTGTAGGATGTGTGGGAGGGGAGGAGCATAAAAGAGGGGTGGCCACCAACTCCCAATGGCCCTGTGGTGATGGGCACGGAGTCGGTTTCCTTGGTGTTGACCGAATACACGATCTTCCCCTTACTGGTTAGGATATCCGCGTTGGCCGAGCACATCCAATCCTGCCCTAGGAGCATGACGTTGGTGCTTGCTCCCGTCATTGCTATATCCACCGTTAGAGTCATCTTTCCCACCCTAACCGGCACATCCGGCAAGAGTCCCCACGGCTTCAAAGTCTCTCCACTAGATGTGGTGAAATATATGGCGGTATCTTGGAGGTTGGGTAGCCCGAGATTCCTAACTATCACGCGCAATAAGGCGGTTTGAGAAGCTCCCGAGCCAACTATGGAGGTCACCCTACGTTTCCCCAAGTACACTTCTGTCAGAACCATATTGTAGGCTGTAGTGGGACACTCCTTATGGGGTACAGTATTGTTAGGTTTTGCCTATACAAACCTTGTACTGCCCTGTTTCTAGTCATTCTCTCGTTCTTATTCTCACATGGTATTAGAGCAGAATCGTTCCTAGGGCCCACCGAACGTTCCGCCCTGTCCTAACTGGAAATTTTATTTTTTAGCTGCCCTTGCAGCCCGCGTGCTGCCCCTGCGACCGTGGTACCCCTGCAGCCGTGCCTGCCCCTGCAGCCCGTGGGCGCTGCCTCTGCAGTCGTGCCTGCCCCTGCAGCCCGTGGGCGCTGCCCCTGCAAGCGTGCCTGCCCCTGCAGCTCGTGGGCGCTGCCTCTGCAGCCCTGCCTGCCCCTGCAGCCCGTGGGCGCTGCCCCTGCAGCCGTGCCTGCCCCTGCAGCCCGTGGGCGCTGCCTCTGCAGCCCGCGCGCCGCCCTGTCGGGCCGCGTGTCGCCCTTGCAGCCCGTGGGAGCTGCCTCTGCAGCCCGCACGCCGCCCTCCCGAGCCGCGCGCGTAGCCCTTGCAGCCCGTGAGCGCTGCCCCTGCGACCCGCGCGCCGCCCTGCCGAACAGCGCGTCGCTCCTGCTCGTCGCGACGCCCCTGCGGGACCCGCGCGGCGTCCCACCCTGCTCGTCGCGGCGCCCCTTGGACGCCGCCCCTACTCGTCGCGGCGCCTCCGGGGCGTCGCCCTTACTCGTCGCGGCGCCCCCTGAGCGTCGCCCCTGCGTGTCGCGGCGCCCCCTGGGCGCCGACTCTGCTCGTCGCGGCGCCCCCGGGGCGTCGCCCTTACTCGTCGCGGCGCCCACTGGGCGCCGTCTCTGCTCGTCGCGGCGCCCCCTGGGCGCCGTCCGTGCGTGTCGCAGAGCCCCCCCCCTGCAGCAGTCGCGGCCCCGCCCTGCAGCAGCTGCCGCGGAGCCACCTGCCGCTGTCGCGGCCCCGCCCTGCAGCAGCCGCCGGGAGCCCCCTGCAGCAGTCGCGGCCCCGCCCTGCAGCAGCTGCTGCGGAGCCCCCCTGCCGCCGTCACGGCCCCGCCCTGCAGCTGTCGCGGCCCCGCCGACACCGCCGTCGGCCCTTCCCGCCACTGGTGAGCACCTGCCCTACCCGCGCTTCCCGCGTGCCTGCCTTACTAGCGCACTGCCGCGCCGGCCTGCCTGCCTCCTGCCGCGCCTGCCTGCTAGCCGAGCCGCGCCGCCCAGCTGAGCCGCGCTGCTCAGCCGCGCCGAGCCGCCCCGCTGAGCCGCGTCGTGCTGCCGAGCTGTGCAGCCCTGCTCTACTGAGCCGCACTGCCCTGCCCGCGCTGCTACTGCTGCTGCTGCTGTTCTTGCTATTACTGCTGCTACTACTGCTACTACTGCTACAGCTGCAACTAGCGGTGGCCAGATGCAGCTCCAGCGACGTCCGCGTGAGTCCCTCACGCCCCAACAGCTTCGTGAGTGGTACACTAGTTGGGGTTGTCGGGGTGGCCGTGGTGGGAGTCGCCCTGGAGCGGGTCGTTCGGGAGCTCCTTGTAGTGGCCAGGTGCAGCTGCAACGGCGTCCGCACGAGATCCTTTCGCCCCAGCAGCTTCGTGAGTGGTACGCTAGTTGGGGTTGTAGGGGTGGCCGTGGTGGGAGTCGCCCTGGCGCTGGTCGTTCAGGAGCTTCTTGTAGTGACCAAGTGCAGCTGCAGCAGCGTCCGCGCGCGACTCTTTCGCCCCAGCAGCTTCGTGAGTGGTACGCTCAGAGTAGAGGGTAGCGGAGTACTGTGCGCTGCCCGTACGTCATTCGCACTGGTGCTCGGGCTGGTCAGCCTTGCGGGACGGTTGGTCACACAGAGTCCCGCTGCTTCTCCTCTCTGAGCGACGCCTGGCGTATAGAGTTTGGCGACGACGCTGAGCTCCCCTCCTGGCTGGAGCTGCTTAGGCGGAGGGAAGATATCTTTGCTCTTGACTATGATGCTATCCTCACTGCCATGTATGCATTGCCTACTAGTGCTGAGGTTGCCTGTTACCTGTGTGTGCCGCCTGACCCAGGTATAGAGTCTGCTGCTCTAGGTGCTGGTGAGGCTGCTGCTCTAGGTGCTGGCGTGTCTCCTACACCAGGTGCTGGTGAGGCTGCTGCTCTAGGCGCTAGTGAGTCCACTGCTCCAGGTGCTGGTGTGTCTGCTCTCTCTAGTACTGCGCCTGCTGCGGCCTTGCACACTTTCACCCTTGACTCGGGTGCTTCCCGCTCCTTCTTTCGCGACTGCACCACACTCTCGCCGCTCAGTCGGCCAGTGGCAGTCTCTCTGGCAGACCCCTCTGGGGGTCCGGTCCTTGCACACTCCTCCACGGTTCTGCTGTGTCCGGCGGTCCCGTCTGGCTCTCTGTCTGGCCTCCACCTCCCCTCGTTCTCCACGAACTTGGTGAGTGGAGCTGACCTTCAGGACGCATCGGTTGACCAGTTCACTCCTGGAGGTCAGCGGGTGACCCACTGTTCGTGTACACGGACGGGCCGGCACCTGGCCACGTTCACCCGTCAGCCTGGGTCGAGCCTGTACACCCTGACTACTGTGACTCCTTCGGTTGCTGAGTCTGGTCAGGTTGCAGCGTCTGGTCAGGTTGCAGCGTCGGGTCAGGTGTTTGGTGCAGCCTCCCGGTCTGGTCCTGAGTCTG